TCTATCTATCTATCTATCTATCTATCTATCTATCTATCTATCTATCTATCTATCTATCTATCTATCTATCTATCTATCTATCTATCTATATCTATAGCTGTATAGGTCTGCATGTAGATATGTTCATGTGTTAAATAGATATAAGTGATTTTTTTATGAGATTACAAATACTGTGGTATAGAATGTTTCTTTCACAGCATTATTTTTCCACATTTTACTTTCTGGAAGTAGATCATGGTATCCAATCCAAAAGTGGACATGATGGTGACAGTGTTCATCTTTAATTTACAGTCGGTGTGAAAAATACTCTGCTCATGTTAGCATGCTCTGAGACCAGCTGAGTGTGAAGTGGCTGGGATGAGAGTCAGCTCCTCTAAGTCTGAGGCCATAGTTCTCAACATGGTTCTCCTTCATTTCAGAAGAACTCAGTTAAGGTGGTTTAGGTAACTGATTAGGATGCCTCCTTCCAGAGGTTTTTTTTTGTTGGGTGGCCGGGGGGGGGGAATATATATACTCCAGGGCAGACCCATAACTCTCTGAGGGATTATATATCTTCTCTGGCCTGGGAACACCTTGGAATCCTCCAGGTGTAACTGAAAAGTGTTGGTGGGGAGAGGGATGTCTGGTTTTATCTCCTGGACCTGTTGTCTCCATGACCCCAAAACAGATAAGCAGAGGTTTAAAGTAACTCAGTACAAATACTTTGCTACTGTACTTAAGAAAATGTGGTTATCTATATTTTACTTGAGCAATTATTTTTTAGTTAACTTTTTACTTCTACTCCTTACATTTCGGTACTTTTTACTCCTTATGTTTAAAAAAATTAAGAACTAGAAAGTTGTCACAACTATCTTGTTTTAGCTTGTTTTCAAATTGGCTTGTTATTTATAGGAAAGAAAAGAAAAAAAACTATTCAGCTTTCACAAAACTCCCAGATAGATGGAATTTAATTGTGGTTGGAYGGGAAGTATAAAGATCATGACAATCTGGTTTGTACGATTCATCACATCTGCACATGACACAAATCATGTCACACAGCAGGACATATCAGACGTATGTAGCCTCGTATGAGGATGACTGTGGCAGAGATATATGAAGCTGAAACAGGGAGCCTATATCTATATGTTTTAACAATTACATTTTAATATAACATTATAGTCATTATGGCTTTTAGAAAAACAAGTTTTAGAGAGGTCACCTCCCAATAAACGTCTCTTTGGAAAACCTAACTGCTCACTTTTACTTAACACTTGTAATATGTCAGAAATAAAATTTAATTTTGATACTTCAGTACAAAAAAGTTTAGATACTTTAAAACTTTTACTCCAACAATATCATTAGAAGAGACTTAAACTTTTACGAAAGTAATTTTATGTTAATGTACTTGTATTTTTATTCAAGTATCACTTTGAGGTACTTTGAGGTACTTTATGCAAGCAGTAGGAGACGGAGATCGACATACAGTATAAGAAACTTTTTTCCTTTAAAATTAATTTTTACTTTTTAACACAAAGAGAAAAAAATTGTTTAAAGACACACTGTTTTCTTTTCTCCATCATCATTCAGATGTGAAGATTTAAATCCCATTCAAGTCTCATTCCATTTACTTCAAAGTATAATCCTCAGGAATTTTTCCTTTTAATTGAATTTCTGTGATATTCAGCCACATGAGAGCAGCACACGCAATCTCAAAACAATTTTTTACTAAAGGTTTATTCATTTTCATTCAGAGATATTTTCAYAAGATTATTTTGTGTAACTAATCAGAAGAGGCAACGTAAATTTTCTAAAAAAAGGTATTTCTATTTCTCTCACCCCCTTCAACTAATATGATAGTGGTTAATTTAGTTGCAACAACAAAAACAAAACTTTTATTTATACAGTTTATAAAACAGCGCTGTTGCATTGCTGCCTGTAAGGAGATAATATGTAGAGATCACTGAGTGTTTCCAATCATTCAACATGTATCTGCTTTTATTTTTYAAATTCTGTCTTCCCCTTGCAAACACCATGCACCACGGTGCCACRTACAGAACAACCTGTCTGCTGGTTCTACAGTGCAGCAGCTCGTCGCTCCGTGTGTCTCTGGCTGAAGTGGAGCTTTTCACTCGATGAGAACAAGCTGCTTTTTCTATAATTGGACTCCGAGCCCTCGACGGTACCGCAAGGAACAAATTTAGCTTGGATATAGTGCTCACATTAATAGGAGGGATGTGATGCGCTGACTCCCTCTGTCATCACGCCTCTTCCAACTGCATCATTCTTTAAGATGCAAATAAGGGTTGCCATAGAAACCCTAGGCTCAAGCATGATCTGTTTCACACTAACTGCATAACAGACTATGGAGCTGTATGTAATCTAGAGTTTCATGGATGCTAATACTTCCACAATGTTTAAAAGGAGTATTTCTTGTGGGGGAGGGGGTTGAGCATCTTGAGCGCAATGGATTCACGAAGGATGTTGAAAACATGCAAAGATGGCAGAGCTGCTGATGTGCAAACATTTTAAACAGCTCATTGCAGAAACAAAACAGCCCATCGTTATAGAGAAGTGGGGAGGGGGGGAGTCGCTCAGGAAGATATTTTGGGTGCCTTTAAGGCAACTTTTGAGCGCCCAGCAGTGTGTTGCGTTCTGCTTTGTCAGCACAAGGGCAGCTGTTCACAGTGTGAGTCTGGACTCAGTTTGGACCGCAGCCTTACCTACAGCGTCAGGCGCAGAGGGAACAGCAGAGGGAACATCTCGACAGAGCATTATGTTTTCATATTCACAAACCTCCCCTTTTTTTAATAGTTGTGGTTCTGATTATTAAAAAAATCTATTAAATCAGTGCTCACTTCTGATCTCACAAAGATGCTATTTATAGACTGGAACAATTTGATAGGCGGCAACATGTTGGCAGTGATGCACACTCCAGACTGATCCATTTGATCCAGGTCATCTAGACAAGAGCTGACTGATCACTGCCCCAACCCTCCAAGCCCACTACCCACCCCCCTTTCCTGAGGCTCAACTGTAAATTTGATTTTCACCACAAGATGGAAACCTTGAAGTCACAACTTTTTTTGTGGTCATGTTTTATCTGAGGGTGGTGGTAAGAAGGGTGCATTAGTCTTCAACACTCTCCACCTCTTTAAAAAAAAACAGGAGGAATGAAAGTCAGAATCAAACAACAGGCTGAAAGCACACCCAGCTTTTATGCATCGCTGAAAAGTAAAAAAAAAAAAAAAGGCATTAAAGAAAAAAAATGAGGGAACAGGTTTTGCTGCATATGGTGTCTGCAGCAACACGATTAGGTGTTTTCATTCTTACCTCACCCGTTAAAGCCGTGCATGAATTACATAACGTTGCAATAAAAAAAGGGATCTGGAAGCTTTGCTGCTGCAGTGAATTTGAGGTCATCGTGTGATGAGATGTGAGCAGAGAGGAGGAGAACGCATGGTTGGAAATGAGAGGTATTTGTGGCTCGGGGGGGCTACGGTTTTACATGTTTGTTGGTTTCATTATTATTATTTGTTGCAGAGAGGGAGCATTTGTGCATTTGTGTGTGTGTGTGTGTGTGTGTGTGTGTGTGTGTGTGT